TGTGTGTGTGTGTGTGTGTATGTGTGTGTTATTACCAGAGAGGAAATGGGGTTGCTTTACGAGGATACTGGGGCGACATTGTCTCCAGTCCATATCTGTCCTTCGGCATTGAGACTGAAAACAAAGAGCTGCTGAAGACACAGAACAATCATTATGTAAAGGTGAAGAACACTTATTAATTCAGATTAAAATTACAGATGGAAACCTTGTGTGTACAACCACAGCTTTTAACATGTTGTATGTTATAGTCTGTATGAAACTGAAACGTACAATGTTTATTTTGCCAGCTCATATTGTTTATTCTTAAGGTGAATAATTACTCAGTGCTAGTTCATACACTAAAAAATGTAGTTTGTTTTGGTAATCTTCAATTAAATTCTGACCAATTGCTTCCACATTTGGAGTGGTGTTCCTTCTGTTGACGTTAACCCTTGGGTTTCCATAGCAACTGCATATAAATACCCCCTTTAGTTTGCTGTAGGGGAATGATGCCCAAAAACAAAGCCCTTCTCAATATTCAATTTCAGTTGGAACTGGAAGTACATCAACATACTATAAATAAATGTCTAAGCAACTTCCGGTTCATGCAGGCTTTAAAAAAACTCCAGTAACGTTTAATGAACTGCAGTGATATTTAAATGGTGATTTACCTCTCTCTGGTCATCTGTGTCTCTCAGACGGCTCAGGATATTTCTGAAGTGAATGTGCTGGAGTTGTTTGAGTGTCTCGCCGCTAGAGGGAGATCTCCACTAAATGATGATCCACCAAACACCTCAAGTTCCTGCTGTCAATCCACAGAAAGTCTCAAAACAGAAGAAAACTCACAGAGTGATCCGTCTGCTTCTCAAACTCAACCTGTGGAACATTCGCCAACTCAAGAGCTTGGTATCGTCCTATTAATGTCAAACCAATTAAAGCAATAGTTCACTTCAAGAATAAAATGTTCACTCCCTTGTCATCCAAAATGTAAATGTCTTTACTTATGCAGACTCCGGTCATAAAGAAATTGTTTTTTGAATAAACATGCTGTTTTTTCCTCTATATAGTGTTGTATTTTGAACATCCAAAGTCATTTTCATGATGATTCCTGGATGAGGATTCAAAACAATCTTATTTTTTTTTAAATTACAAATGTTTTTTTCTAATCAAGCAAGTTTTGGGATGCAGGAGTTTAAAGAAAATCCTTTAAAGTACTGCTATTGACATATTGAATCAAACTAATCTTCTTATAAACTTCCCATCACATAGACTTAAATAACATTTGTTTTGTCTTCCAGATCTGCTGAACGTGAATGGAGTGAAAGTGTCATTTCTGTCTCCAGACTCACTCAGCAAACTTCCTCTCAAAAGCAAATACAGGAACCTGTTCAACACCATCTTCTGTTCAGCAAGGTGAAGCATGTTTATATACTGGAGATCTGAGTGACCATCATAAAATATGTAATGCTAACACAATGTGTCTGTGGTTTTTCAGTATGGTCCATCAGCTGGATTCTGCTCTGAGAGAGATCGCAGCGCCTGATGCTGCTCTGGTTATAGAGTTAGCAACGTGAGTTAAGCAAAGTAAAAAATAAAACACTGACCAATAACTGTTGCTTACAAGATGTTTATATTAGCACAGATCTACTCAACCTGCACTGAATGCTTATGATCTCTGTTTTTCTTGTTCAGCTTCCTGTTGGATCTTTCAAAAGAGCAAGTGTCGGGTTTTGCTGTCAGAGTGAAGGAGATCGCTGAAAAATCAGGATTCACTCCAGTGCACAACCAGAACAGTGACAAATATGCAGTATTCACACAGAAAAACAACTGAAGAGGACACTGTTTAACTCATGCTATTGATTTTTTTTTTATTCAGGTTTTTAAAAACATTTCCTTCAAGTAAAATTAGATATTAAATTCAGCACATATTAACATATGAAGAATCTGTGTGTGTGTGTGTGTGTGTGTGTGTGTGTGTGGTAAAAAAACACTAAAATCTATATTTTAATAACTTAAATGTAGATGAACTAGTTATTTTAAGCATTACAAAATATACTTTCATTTAATAATAAATTTTAATGGAAAACTAGTATGAAGTGTTTGCTAAATTAACTCAAATAACAAATAAATGTCCCACAAATACACATCACAGGATGGGTGATTAATTGAATTGATATAACAATAGAAGGCTTTAATAATTTTATTGAAAAAAACAATGTATTTACACATTTCCACATACAATACAAAATTTGTTAAAAAAAGTAAAAGTAAAATAACACACAGATTCATTGTCCATTGTATTAAAACCGTAAACACCAAAGAAAATGTGACACACAGCTACAGAATAAAGTCTCTCGGTCTCCTGCCACTGCACTGGTAGGTATTGAACGGAGCAGGTTCTTTATTCTGATAATTTATATATGAGTGTGTGTGTGTTTGTGTATAAAAACTACCGGTCTAAAGTTTGGTGTCAATAGGATTTTTAAATGTTTTTTTAAATGTTCTGCTCATTAAGCCTGCATTTATATCACTACAAATACAAAACACATTGTAAAATGGTGAAATGTTATTGCACTATAAATGAACTGTTCGAAATTAGTTTTATCATTTTATTAAATAATTTATATCAGTGATTTAATAGATGAATTTTCATCTTCATTATTTCAGTCTTCAGAAATCACTCTAATATTAGTTATAATTATTATTATTATTATTATTAATGCCAATAATAATAATAAAAGCAATAATGACTGGACTAATAATTTCATTTGAAACTACATATAATAAAAAAAGCAGTTATTTAATTTTTCTTATAAATATATATTTTTTACATTTAATAAATGCCGCCTTTGGGTAAATATAAAGATAAAATATAAAAATAATAATATAAAGTAAACAGATAGCTTATTACGGAAGCTAAGCTGTGCAATAAAAAAGAAAGAAAGAAAAAAACAATACAAAACAGAACGATTAACAGAAGTGTATTGAGTCATAATTATTTTCTCCCCAGACCATCTCTTTATTTTAATACATAAATTCCAAACTGGCTAAAAGCAGTAAACCTAATACGCAATTTTTGCTGGTATCTTCTAATCTGATTTAATGCTTTTTTTAAATGCCATTTAAAATATATATATTTAATGCAATACCCGTCTGTCTTTGCACATTATGTGCATAACGGCCCTCAGACAGAACCAGCAGATTGTTAATGAGTAACAGTGGAATATGAGCAAAATGTGGATGTGCTGTCTTTAAAGGGCATTTAACTTGGAGTTTTAAATGACATTTTCATTATGACATTATTCTCTAAGACACTTTTTCCTATTGTGCTGTCAGAAATATAAAAAGTATTTTGATGACAAATAAAGTTAAGAAATAACATTTTTGTACAACTTAGATTTTTGACTGTTATCATTTTTGACTGTTACCTTCTCTTTTAGTATAACGGCTAGTAAAAAGGTAAATGTGAGATTGTGGAAACGAGGTTTAAATTTAGCGGCAATAGTCAGGTAGGGAAGAAAACTGACCGCGAGTGAACAAAGTTGGAATAAATAGCATGCACGGTCAGTGTGGAATAAAATGCACTAGGAGCATGACTAAAATAAACAGATTATATCACTTTTTTCTTAAAACTATCTACAATAAATTATAATAAAAATATAAAATGTAACGCTTTTTAATGCCATTTAAAGGGAGTTCACTCAAAGAAACTTACAAAGCATTTACTCTCCTTCAAGTGGTTCCAATTGTTTATGAGTTTTCTTTTTCTGTTGAACACAAAAGAAGATATTGTGAAGAATGTTATTCCATTGACTTCCATAGTAAAAACAATTCCATCGAAAGACAAATACTATAGAAATCAATGGTAACTTTTAAAATGTCTTCTCTTATGTTTAACAGAAAAAAAGAACGTTTTGAACGAGTGAAGGGTGAGTAAATGAGGTCATTTTCATTTTTGGCTGAACTGTGCCTTTAAAGCCTTATTTCGATAAAAATGTAATGTCTTGTAATGCTTCTCAGTGCCCTATAGAAACCCTGCAATAAAGTATTTTAGATACATTTTCAACTTTACCAAGTGTTGCATGTTATGTTGCATAACAGACTAGAGTCTGGCCTCATTTAACTCAGTTTAGCCAGCATCCAATCACTGATGACCTTTAAACATACTAGCCATGCCCTAAAAACCATTTACAGCACCCTAGCAACTGTCTCATAGACTGACTAGCTGTTCTAACACATGCTAATAATTCGAACATGCTAACAACATGACAATTCATGTTGGAATCATGCTAACATTATGCTAATTCATCCAACTTGATATTTTTTAAACTAAATAAATAACTTTCATCAGGCTTTCTCAAGCCACCATAAGGTTTGTCCTCAAACTTTAATATTTAATTTTTTTGTTACATGTCTAGACTAAATCAGAGTAAATCAGCAGTAACTAGATATAGTATACAGGTGTGTACCTACACTGGTTTCACGGTCGGGTTTGGTTACGATTATCATGCGATTCAATTCAATATATCAGTGCATCGACGATGCTTTCCAAAAACAATTTAAAATTTGACTTCACAGCAAAAGAAAAATGTATAAATGTATATTTTTATATTATTTGTTATACAATTTTGTCCTTCAATACAGTCAGATATATAAATTGTACCTTTAAAACCTCAAGTACATGCACAGAACAACATGAGCATTTATAGCAAATAAACAAATGTAAATATCCCCCTTGATTTCTGAGTCTTGTCGGGCGAGTTCTTACACTTTATGATTGGTCACGTGCTCAACAGAAAGAGCTCTAACACTCTGGTGCTGTTCACCGATGATAAACACTGATAAACGGCAGCGCCGTACACAGCTGATCCATGATAGACACGGTGAAGAAAACTAACTCTGCAAATATGCGCTTGTGTCTGTTTCCAGAAGTATCGCTGTAACAGCCGAGAGGAGAGGAAAAGTCACGCCAGCTGATCAAATGGGCCACAGTGAGAGAGAGAGAGAGAAACGGAGTTTACTTTCATTTTCCCAATAGCCGTGAAATAGGGGCTTTTGCTGTAAGTGTTAGTGAAAGGCTGTCTAGCAAACACACACAAATTGTGCAGTTTCTGTGATTTTAAGTAGTTGGAGTTTTTAAATAACACATGCTCTCCTCCCTCACCATAGTAAGCTACCACCACATAGCACATATGAGATAAATGATAACTGGTTATTATTATTACTGAACCGATACTGATACTGCGTCTACATTGCGTTGCACCAAAGAAACAATTAATTTTGACACCCTTTATATAGTACACCTTATGTTGTAGTACATCTGTCCTCTCTTTCTTCTACCTGTGATTGGACAGCCAGGAGAAACTTCAGTAACCCTCTCTTGTTCTTGAGGGAGTTTAATTGTTTTTCAAGGGGGTTCTTGGTATTGTGGAGATGTCTCTGATGAAATCAGTGCTATTCCCCATCTTTCTCTTATGTCTAAAAAATCTCTTCCCTTGCCACTCCAGATAATCTTCATCTGCAATATTCACGGAATAGAAAATAAGACTTGCATAACTTTCATAAAACTAAATCACATACTTAAATATAGCCATAACCCATTCAGCTCAAAAGCAAACAAATCACAAAAACAATCATAATGTGAGTAAAATGTATTGCTACATACTGTTTTTATTTCTAGTAATATATTGCCAAAATATTTATTTATATTATAAGTACATAACAGCAAATACATGCAGCTTATACACCCACCTGTGTGATAGGGCTGAAGAAATCTGATATCACTCACTGAAGACACTATCATCAAGAGTTAACATCAAGAGTTAACACGAGTTAACAATTACCAAGAGTGAACATGTTATTCTTCAGCTTATTAACATAAAACAACATAACTGAACATCAACATGAAATCAGAACAACAAAAGTCAAAGATCATTTACAAAATTCACTATTCATTGCTGATTAAATAGAAAAGTAAAATATGTTGATTATCTTACTTCTGCAACATACTGTTTTTATTTTAGTAATTTATTGCTAAAATATACACTACTGGTCAAACATTTGGTGTCAATAGGATTTTTAAATGTTTTAAAAAAAGCTTCTTCTGTTCACCAAGCCTGCATTTATATCACTATAAATACAAAGCACATTGTAAAATAGTGAAATGTTATTGCACTATAAATGAACTGTTCGAAATTAGTTTTATCATTTTATTATATAATTTATATCAGTGATTTAATAGATGAATTTTCATCTTCATTATTCCATTCTTCAAAAATCACTCTAATATTAATTATAATAATAATAATAATTATTATTATTATTATTAATGGCAATAGTAATAAAAGCAATAATGACTGGACTAATAATTTTATTTGAAATAACATATAATAAGAAAGCAGTTATTTAACATTTTAATAAATATTTAACAATTTAACTCTGGGAAGAGTTTGGGGAGATCATGGAGGAAGACTACCAGTACGCCCGTAGCAGTACGCCCGTAGCAGCCTCTGGACTGGGCAATTGGGGTGGTGGTTCCCATTTTTAAGAAGGGGAAATGGAATGTGTGCTCCAACTACAGGGGGATCACACTCCTCAGCCTCCCTCTCAGTCTATGCCAAGGTACTGGAGAGGAGGATCTGACCAATAGTTGAATCAAGAATCAAGGGTGAACCATGCTGTTTTCATCCAGGCTGTGGTAGTGGACCAGCTCTATACCCTCACGAGGGTCCTTGAGGGTTCATGGGAGTATGCCCAACCAGTCCACATGTTTTTTTGTGGACTTGGAGAAGATATTCAATCATGTCCCTTGTGGCATTCTGTGGAGGGTGCATTGGGAGTATGGGGTCAGAGGTGCTCTGTTAAGGGCTTTCTCATCCCTGAATAAACAGAGTAGGAGTCTGGTTCGCATTGCCAGCAATAAGTCAGACTGGTTTCCAGTGCATGTTGGACTCCGGCAGAGCTGCCCCTTGTCACCAATTCTGTTCATCATTTTTATGAACAGAATTTTAAAGTGCCGCCTTTTGCTGGAGGGGGTCCGGTTCAGGGACCACAAGATTTCATCTCTGTTATTCACTGATAATGTTCTGTTGGCTTTATCGAACATGGACCTTCAGCATGCACTGGGGTGGTTTGCTGCCGAGTGTGACGTGGTTGGGATGAGAATCAGCACCTCTAAGTCCGAGGCCATGGTGCTCCACCGGAAAAAGGTGGTTTGCCATCTCCAGGTTGAAGGAAAGTCCCTAGACTCCCTACCCCAGGTGGAGGAGTTCAAGTATGTTGGGGTTTTGTTCACAAGTGAGGGAAGGATGGAATGTGTGATTGACAGGCAGATTGGTATAGTGGCAGCAGTAATGGTCAATGTACTAGTTCGTTGTGATAAAGAAAGAGCTGAGCCAAACTTGTTCCTACTCTCACCTATATGATCATGAGCTTTGGGTCATGACCGAAAAGACAAGATCTCAGATACAAGCAGCCGAAATGAGTTTCCTTCGCAGGGTGGCAGGGTGCACCCTTATAGATAGGGTGAGGAGTTCTGTCACCCGGAAGGAGCTGTTTCAGATGCCTCCTGGACGCCCTTTTAGGGAGGTGTTCCAGGGATGTCCCACCGGGAGGAGGCTGGAGGGACTATGGGCCCTATCATACACCCGGCGCAATGAGGCGCAAGGCGCGACGCAATAGTTGTTTGCTAGTTTCAGCTTGGCGCAAGAGTCGTTTTGAAGTTTTGCGCCACGCTATTTAAATAGCAAATGCATTTGCGCTCAAATGTGCTCCCATAGGCGTTCTGGTCTAAAAATAAAAGCGTGTTAAGGCGCACTGCTGGCGCGTTGCTATTTAGAAAAACTGTTATAGATTTTTCAATAGACCAAAACAAACCCGATCTAAACTCCAGCGCAGAGCCGGTCTATTGTCCAGTTAGTTGTGCACCTGCTTACACACTGCTTAATACACACAAGATGTAGAGCAATATGCAAATATCTTTAAATATGAAAAAGAATTAAAATATTAAGGATATATATAGGCTATAATAAGAATATATATAGGATATAATAAGAATATATATAGGATATAAATATAAAGGATTAAAATATTACAAAACATTATTTTCTAGCCTACATAAATATGAAAATCCACTGCTTTATTACCTTCTTTATCTTTGGAGGCTTTTTCAGTTTCATTCATAACAATTTGCTTTTGTATAATGTTATTATTATTAGCAGTATTATTTATTATACCCATATTTATATTTGTTTTATTAAAGCAAGCTTAGATTTGTCCACCTGCAGGTTTTAGACCATATGAGGCACAGCATGTGTTTTAGGATATAACTCAGGTTTTTGAGCACACTTCAGTATTATTGTTCATTTATTCGTTTGCTGGAAATTAGAACTGAATTTAGAAATAGTTTTGAAACAAATCTTTGCGCTTAACAAACAAAATAAATTATTTATAGGCTAATTGATGTCTGTGCGTAAAGGTTTCCCTATCCAAGAGCAAAAGTGAAAGTTAATAATTTATCTCTCATTCTTGTGCTGCAGATGCTCTGTTCAACTGTTTTTTTGCTTGTGAAATGCTCAGTTTTTCCACTTACACTTACTTAACGTCATGTAAATGGCAAATGCGCTTATGGCGTGACGCAAGGCTCTTAAAGGGAATGGGAGATGAGACTCTGATTGTTTTTTTCTCAAAACACACCAATAACTCATTAAGAAAATAAACTCAACCCTTTTAGACCATGCGCCACGGCGCAAAGCAGATTTTTCCGTCCTTAAATTAGCAAAAGTGGATTCCGAAACGCCCTGAAAGCCTTTGTGCCCTGCGCTTTGCGCATGGACCATCAAAATAGAGCCCATTATGTCTCTCGTCTGGCCTGGAAACGCCTAGGGAAATCTTGAGTTCTCTCTTAAGACTGCTGCCCCTGCATCCCAGCCACGGAAAATCGATTGAAAATTAATTAATTAACAATTGAACTTTTTTTTTTTACATTTATAAATGCGGAACAGTAATGCCGAATGATAAACAGAATAATATTCTTAAAGAAAAAAAAAAAACACATGAAAAAAAATGACCCCAAACTTTTTACCAGTAGTGTTTGTGTGTGTGTGTATATATATATATATATATATATATATATATATATATATATATATATATATATATATGCATGTATTGGTATATGGTATACTGTAGCATCCAATTGACGCTGCCACCAATACCCTTGTCTTTGGTACAGTTAACACCACAGCACCCCCTGCTCCAACCCCCCACTCCCAGAAATGCGAGACAAATGTTCGCAGGTATGTACATAACAGAAAATGCATGCATCTTATACACCCACCTGAGTCACTGGAGCCAAGAAAGCCATCATCACTCACTGAAGACACAATCAACAAGAGTTAACATGTCATTCTTTAGTTTATTAACATAAAACAACACAACTGAACATCAACATGAAGTCAGAACAACAAAAGTCAAAGATCATTTTAAAAATTCATAATTCACTGCTGTTCAAGTAAAATATGTTGAGCATCTTACGTGTGGGGCGACCTCCATTAATACTATTATTCAGACCTAAATTTGAAAAGCAGCAAACAAAATCAGGGGAACATTTTTAATTTTCCTATATTTATAGCCTCAGTTATGTAATACATCCAGAGGATTATATATATATATATTTTTAATTACTGTGTAAAGTACTGTACCAGAAATTGCAACATACTGTTTTTATTTCTAGTAATATGTTGCTAAAATATTTATTTATATAGTACATAACAGAAAATGCAGCTTATACACCCACCTGAGTCACAGGATAGAAGAAAGCTAGGATACCCCCTTGTACCTGAAGACACAATCATTAAGAGTGAACATGTCATTCTCCAGCTGATTAACATAAAACAACACAACTAAACATCAACATGAAGACAGAACAACAGAAGTTAAAGATCATTTACACTATTTACTGCTATTCAAGTATAAAGGAAAAATATGTTAAGCATCTTACTCATGGGGCGATCTTCATCAATACTACTTTTAAGTCTAATTCTGTGACCTAAAATTGAAAAGCAATGAACAAAATCAGAGGAACATTATTTTGCAGTGTAGCTTTACATATTTTTAAATTAACTTTATTTATAGCCTTAGTTATGTAATACATTAAGAGGATTCCATTCTTGTATTAAATATTCACTATACGGGAAGTACTGTACATGAAAATTCAAGGTATTGCAACATACTGTTTTTATTTCTAGTAATATGTTGCTAAAATATTTATTTATATTATAAGTAATAAGAATAACAGCAGATGCAAGCATCTTCTACACCCACCAAAGTCACCGACAATGGGATCACTGAATGACCCTGAAGACACAATCATTAAGAGTGAACATGTCATTCTTCAGCTTATTAACATGAATCAACACAACTAAACATCAACATGAAGACAGAACAACACAAGTCAAAGATCATTTACACAATTCACTATTCACTGCTGATCAAGAATAAAAGAGAAATATGTTAAGCATCTTACTCATGGGGCGATCTTCATCAATACTACTTTTAAGTCTAATTCTGTGACCTGAAATTGAAAAGCAATGAACAAAATCAGAGGAACATTATTTTGCAGTGTAGCTTTACACCTTTTCAAATTAACTTTATTTATAGCCTTAGTTATGTAATACATTAAGAGGATTCCATTCTTGTATTAAATATTCTCTACGTAAAGTACTGTACATGAAAATTCAAGGTATTGCAACATACTGTTTTTATTTCTAGTAATATATTGCTAAAATATTTATTTATATAGTACATAACAGAAAAACACAATCATTAAGAGTGAACATGTCATTCTCCAGCTGATTAACATAAAACTACACAACTGAACATCAACATGAAGACAGAACAACAAAAGTCAAAGATCATTTACAAAATTCACTATTCACTGCTGATCAAGTAAAAAAGAAAAATATGTTGAGCATCTTACTCATGGATGGAATTCCAGCAATTATACTGCTCAGGCCTGAAATTGAAAATCAGCAAGCAAAATCAGTCAGAGGAACCTTTTTTTTTTGCAGTGTAATTTCAATTTGACTTTATTTATAGCCTTAGTTATGCAATGTATTAAGAGGATTAGATTCTTTTTTATTTTACATTTACTATGTAAAGTACTGTCAGTTTTTTTACGTACTGGGTTAAAAATAAAAAACAAAGACAGAGAAAATACCTGAAATCTATTGAGACATAAATGTTTTCTCCTCAGGCGATTTCCTAGTCTGACCCCATTATTATCAAACTGGCTATAAAGCAGTATTCTAAAAACACTTAATATTATGAATTAGATGTTCTATTAGCATTATTCAGTAGTAAACATTTAGTACATCAAAACCTTTCATCAAATGTGTCCTAAAACTATTTAACGACACCCATTTTTGCCATAAGACCATTTTGAAAACCTTTTTTTAATCCACTTCAAATGATGAGTAATGAATATTATTAAGCGTTATGTTGCATTCACTTGTAGTGGAAATAGAAATATGGTGTAACCCAGCATATGGAGAAAAAAGGCCCATGACAACCCATCTTTTTATCATAGCAGAATCACTGGCATATCAAAAATCTAAAGAATATAAAATGATTCAAGATGTTATGTTTAGAATTAAAATTGGATATATATATATATATATATATATATATATATATATATATATATATATATATATATATATATATATATATATATATATATATATATATATATATATATATATATATATATATATATATATATATATATATATATATATATATATATATATATATATATATATATATATATATATATATATATATATATATATATATATATATATATATATATATATATTAATTAAATATAATTATTTGAAAGTTAACACATTACTTAATATAAGAATGTTCAGTGCATTTGCCTGTCTCTTTATAACTACTTTCTGGATCAATCAAACTAGGTGAGAGTTCTCTGAGACCTTGAGAGGAACTGAGAGCTGAGGACTGGAAGCAACTGTTTCTATTGTTATTTCTATGAGTCAATACTGTCTAAAATGTCTAAAGTGGTTTAGCAATTTTTACGGTTAATTCTTTTTAAGTGATTTTACTTTTATTCAAGATAGACTTTGTGTAGTAAGGATAAAACTGCCTGAATGTAGATTATACCGGTTTTTAACCAGTTTTGATAAAGACGGCAGAGAGTACACTCAGCCTTGGATAGGAAACAGATTATACTTTAAGTGTGTGTGTTTTATTTGATTGTTGATCCGTTTCACAGGTCTGGAGTCAGCTCTAATCAGTCTAAGGGATGTCTGACGTTTATGCTTAAGATAATGTTCAGAATTGTACGCACGAACCCCACGTGGAAATGTTCCTTGTCTATCTGTGTTTTAACCAATCAGGTTAGAACACCTATATGTATGACGCTGTTAATGACGTTATGTGAGAGTATAATTGTTATTGATTGGTGATTGTAAGCAGAGCGGCCTAGGAACTCATTGCCAGTGTTGAAGCTGGCTTCTGCTGATGAAACTGCAAACTATCTTCAGTAAACTTCATTTATTTATTTAAATCTCTGACTTCTTCATTTGACATACATTCTTTGGGTTAAACTGTATACCATCACTACACACGGTATTGGGATTACTGCTCTAAAATATATTCTTTTTAAATGTCTGGGTAAAAAACAACAATGTTTACCCCATTGAACACAATATATTTTATTTTAGGAAACATAATAACTAAATAACACAAATAAATCACAGACTTCTGCTATCTATTTTTAGTTTGATTAGACAGATTCATTTAAACTTGACAAGTCATCTTTGGATATATTTCTTCTCTTTGGATATACAACAAAATATACAAGTCACTGCATGGTTCAGGTCTATAGCATGCTTTAATGTTGGTGCATTATTAAGGGTTTTTCAGATGTTTGCTTAACAGATGCTTTTTGTGTGGAGTAGGGATGTAAATTTCCACCAAATCCTGTGACCGATCATAATTTAAATGAACAATTTTTAACCTTAATAATGTGTCTGTTTTATGATATGTAAATTACAGGGAAAACGCAAGCATTCCCTGCCAAAGAAAATGTTTTTTTTTCTTTAAATAAAAATCTAAGATCGTAAAAAGAAGCAACACTTGCTTATTAAATATATTAATATAATCATTTATTAACTAAATGCAATTCTCAAAATATAGAGCCTCAATCAATGAATACTGAAGAATAAGCTGATACCAAGCATAATGATGCTTGCATAATTATCACTGCGAATTAAACTAAGCGTTCATTTTATATATATAATCTATAAATGTAAAGTATTTGAAGTAATTTTCATTCATTCATTTTCTTGTCGGCTTAGTCCCTTTATTTATCCCGGGTCGCCATAGCGGAATGAACCACCAACATATCTAGCACATTTTTACGCAGCAGATGCCTCTCCAGCCGCAACCAATCTCTGGCGAAACATTCACACACACACACCGGAGCACCCAGAGGAAACCCACGCGAACGCAGGGAGAACATGCAAACTCCACACAGAAATGCCAACTGACCCAGCTGAGGCTCGAAAAAAACTTAGTAGGCTACAGGCTAAAAGATGGCACCTTGGCAGAACTAAACATCGCTGCAGTCATATGTCTGTTTAAAGCTTAAAGAACAGACATATATGTAACCCTCGATACACAAATGTATTGTAAGCTGTTCATCAATGGACACTGTTCGCAAAATATCTGACAAAACTGAAAAAGAAATGAAATTATTTAATTTTCATTTTCACTTTGACAACACATCTTCCCTGTCAAATTAATGATTAAAAGGAAGTTGCCAATTTAACATTTCATTTTCACTGCATTTCCACATCAATACTGCCAATATTAAAATAAAAAGCCAAACTGAAAAATAAAATGCAAACACAATTTTTACAAAGCGTGTTATTAATATTCACTCTATATTAGTGACACAATTCAAATTAAAATGTAAATTTAAGCTTTCCTTTTATTGACACTTTTTCATTTCAGTTTTCATTTTCGATTTCATTTTAAACTTCAAGCTGTATGCAAAGCCTATGCTAATCAGTGGGAGGGGCATATTCAAGTGACGTCGAGTGCTTTCACTGTGACAGAGCCCGAGGGCAGAAGCACGGTTTTGATGGATGGGACAGCGTGAGTTACTAGTGTAAATACAGTATAACAGAAGTAAAATGGCAAAAACTGTTAGTCAGCTTTTACGTGAAGCAGCTGCTGCATTGTTACGGAGAATTCACGTGGGAGAATTTCTCAGACAATTCATCTAGTTTTCCACAGGAGACTGCGACTGTATTATCAATGGAAATCACCTTGTCATGCGTTTCATCCATTTTAGTGGTTAGCTTCTGAATCTGAAGTGTAGATAAGGAGATTTCATCCGAACCTTTATACCTCGTAGGATTCTTGGATGGAGTAAAACAAATAGGCTTTGCAAAAACCTCTTCAATGGCACCAATTTCTGTCTCAAGATTGATATTCTCCATGTTTGCTGACTTCATGCCCCCTTCTTCCACAAGGTATCCAGCCAATACTTTTCTGAAGGGACTGATTCTTTCTCTTTTTTTCCCCATTCATGTCAGAGATTAAATAATGTCCATCAAAAATATTCAGGAACACATATGCTTTTAAAATTAAAGACGTTACACGCTAAATAACTATTTTGTTAACTTTAACAAACTCCTCAAAGTACCCAAGCGCTAAAAAATGTGACCATTCACTCTGCTGCCATCTTGGCTCCCTCCATTACATTATAATCATTCAAACACTCGTAAAGCTGATCAGCTGCTATAGCGGAAGGCACAATGATGTCATTCCAAAGCACAGTTTCCTTGGATGCTGTATAATACTCTATTATAAATTATTTATTTAAATAAATAATTTTAATATATATTATTTAGTTGAGTAATCTGCCAATGTTTTTTCTCATATTTATAAGGGTATTCCTATTAGCTCTTTTGCTGTGTACTACCCACTAGTAACCTGGATTACATATAGCCTACTGTACAGTATATGACAGATAACACAATCATAATAAAAACTGATGCTTGCTGTCAACTAGGCTACATTATTTAAGAGCATTTGTTACATAGATAAGATCTCTTGTTCTCAAGCTTGTGTCTACTTTAAATGTAAAGATACCGGTCCTCGTCATCGGTAAAATAGCTTTAAAGCAAATCCTGTGCCAGTTTGATGCATCATGCTGGCTAAAACTAAACAGTGGGCACTGGGCAGTTTAACTCATTAAACATTCGCTCGCCTGACATGCCGCAAAGAAAGGTAGAAAATGAAAGGACATCAGCATGGAGCAGAAATAATCAAGACATCTTTAAAACAGTGACTTGTATAAAAATGTAGCAAATATACGACAGAAGTTTGTGATAAAACAATAACAGTGGAGCTTTAATTAAATCCTTATTTTCCATAAAGTGAAACAAATCATTCACCTGCAGTTGGGTAGTAGACGGGCCACAAACTAAAATATACACTTATATTTTGTCTGAAAATTTGTTTGGTATAATTTGTGCCTTAATTGTGTATTTTTGTTGGTCAGTTATCTACAAAATAAGCAAGAAGAACAAATAACATTTGAGGTGAAGTGAAGTGCGACAAGATTCTCTATGCTTCTGTGGCTAAAACACAATCTGGTTTGTTAAATAAAATTATAATTTAAATAAAATAAAAGTGAAATATTTACAGTTTAGAAAAATGTCTTTTTGTTTACTGTATGATCAAAAATAAAAGTATATTAAACGGTTTTCACAATTAATGACAAATCCATTTTGCCAGTCAGTTTTACTTTTATTTCTTTAATCAATTTGTTTGACCACAATAAGCAGGACAAACTTTACAAACTATTTGCAGCACTGAACGTGTTCCTTGATTACCCTACCTCGGAAAAATTAGTTTGGTCAGAAAGATGAGAGAACTCAGAAACTCCTTGTAAGAATTAAGATGTCTTCATATTTGTGACAATTTGTCAGAAAAAAAAATGCTCAAAACACCTTATTTTAAAGAAAATAGTTAAAGTTTGTATAATCACCCACCCACAACTAACCCACAACCCAATTAAACATGTAGCTTACTTTTTGATTACCTGACCCGACTGAACCGTGGCAGACGGCAGACGGTTCCGGAGCATCCAATTACGCACCAGCCGGCTGAAGGAAAGCTTCTTCCCTCAGGCTATCAGGCTGATGAACACTTAACACACCCCACACAGACAGACTCTTTCATACTCTCACTGCACACCATCAATATATAGCATGCACTGCACTTTAACCAATCCATACTTGAGACAATACTGCCTACAACTTTGTGGACACCTACTCATTTTACAAATCGCTGTTAATTGTACATTGTTGTTGTATTTGCACTGTCTATAGTTACACTGTCTGTATTTTGCACTGTCTATAGTTACACTGTCTGTATTTTGCACTGTCTATAGTTACACTTTCTGTATTTTGCACTGTCTATAGTTACACTGTCTGTATTTTGCACAGTCGTTGTATTTGCACTATTTGTATTTTGTACTGTCTGGAGCTAGCACCTAAGCTTTTCACTCATCATAGCACACATGCTGCTGATGATGTGACAATAAAAAAGGGATTTGATTAAATGCAGCTACAACTCATTCACCAAAAAAGCAAACAAAAATTACCTTTTAGGGTAATTAATAGATACAGTACTTGGAGCCGCATACCTTAATAAGTGAGCTACTGTGGTCTCTTACCTCTCACTTCAAGGTCAACTGTTCCTGTGATCTGGCATCCATCATGAAGGACTCTGCATGTGTATCGTCCTGAATCAGACTGTTGAACATTTTTCAGAGTAAGAGACACATTTCCCCGCCTCAGCTGCAGGACGGACAGACTCACTCGGCTCTCATAGGCACTGTTTGGCTGCTCCTTGCCATTAAACTGATAAATGAGCTCGGTTCCTCTGAACCAACTAATGTTCATGGTTTTAGCACTGGTTTCCGGTGAGAGACGAACAGTTAAGGTGACGTCTCTTCCGGTTGAAACAGACACAGGTTTAGGAGGAAGCACAAGACTGAAGTTTACAGCTGAAAACAGAAATACATCTACTGTCAAATCCCTGTCACCACTGCATATTTATAATCTTTTTATTCTTGTAATGTACTAGTTACAGCATACAAGGTGGTTGGTGTCAAAGCAAACACATTTTTTATTCATTAATCTGATTTTTTGCATTAATGCTAGCAGCTGCATCATGGACAGGCTTAATAAAATACACTATGCGCATCTATTAGGGCTGCTAAATTATAATTTCAGCATCGATATGTTGTAATGTGATCATTCGCAATAGTCACATTAGGATATGCACATTTGTTGAGTTTGTATTATCATTTGCATGTGTTTTTGAGGCCTATAAATTTATAAGAATTTAAAAGCATCCAGGTATAAGAAATTGTACCATTTGTGACTTTATTAACAATTAATTTTATTGAATTATTTTTCTAATTACTGTAACTGTACCTGAATAATGTTAAATTATTGCAAAACAAATAAATGGAAAACAGGGTTTATTTCCTTTGTATCTTTTCATTTATTGTATTTCTCTATGCTTGTAAATTGGTTATTAGATTGTTTGCAGATGCACTTCCTTACAGAATCATTCCAATCAATCTGAAATATTTATACTTTTCAAATAGTGCTATTCAGGTCAACATATTCATATCGCAATATACATCACAGAATAATAAAATAATTAAATGATAATAAATTTTCCAATGTTGTGCAGCCCTAATGTCTATCTGAAGTTGATTTTGCTGTGTCTAAATTAAACAATACAGTATATTACACTCCTGTATAAATTGCCAATATTTTAGTAATACAATAATTATTATCTTAACTAGTGTAAGTGCTGAATCCTGCATAATACTTACAGCTGATCTGGAGAAAAATATGTTTACTTATTGTTTGCCATCTATGAATGACTTCACATCTATAAAGTCCTCTCTGTGATTTTGTGATGCTTCTGAGAATTAAAGACACATTTCCAGTGTGTAGATCTTCAGCTGAGAGACTCGCTCCACCCTCATAATCTACATTCCCTGTCATCTGACCATCTTCATAATGACAGACCAGACGGTTCTCATGCCACCATTTGATCTCCATTGAATGAGCACTGATTGCTGGATCAAGACAACATGACAGAAGCACATCATCTTCAGGATGAGAATGAACAAGGTCAGATAAACAAACAAGAGACAAATCTGTGGAAGAGAAAAAAAAACTACCATAAACATTATTCTGATGCAACTTTGGTAACAGCTGAAACAAAGATTATAGATCACATTTTATTTTCCACTTTTCTTACTTTCTGGCACCTCTCCTGTTTTAGCCATTTTTAACAATTCTGGATGTTTGAGACAGAAATCCTCTTAACCTAGAAAAGTAATCATGACAGAGAGATTTTATGAAATGTCTTATATTCTGTTTAACATCACTACAAGCTCAATTCAAGACAACATGGGATGTTTTTTAATAAAATATAATAAATAAAAATGTGATTTGATTATTCTTTTTAACTTTTATTAACTTACAAAAAACAAAGATGCTGATGTTTCACTGAGTAAATCGACTGTATTCTGTAAACAAACTCATTTTTTATTTCAATGGTTTAACAGGCTCCAAAAATGTTGTGGCTGAAGCATGTTTAACAGTGTAACATCAACTTTCCTTATAAGTAACAGTTTAATTGTTTGGGAATTTAAGATGCTATTTGTTAAAGTTTACAACTAAATGCAAGTTAAAGAGAATGAACAAATTACAGATTCTTGATTGATCTAGAGTCTTTATTACAATTTCCAAAAGTTAAGGTAATAAAAGATGTGTTAAAATAAATTATTGTTAAAATATTTTTAATCTAATTTTATCTAAAATCCAGTTTCAGAAATACCAATTGAAACATTTGAAAATGCATAAAAACAATTTGCATTTACTGAAAAATGTATCACCATCAGGAATTTTTATTCTTACAAGTTACAAAGTAACTACTGAAAATATACTGTAGCACTAATTTTTTAAAATCTGTAATGAAATTTAAATATATCAGCTTGTTATAATACTTAAGTGAAGACAACAACATAACAGAAGGTTTCCTTTAGGCCACTGGTTAAATTAAATAGATTTCTGTTACTAATTCTGTCATTGTTGAGATTATAACAATTGGAACTATTGATATCCTTTCGCTATTTCGAGCATGCGCTGTAAGATCATCGAGTAAGCCTAATTTTAAAAGGTAGCCATATTTAAAATTCAAAGAAAATATTTTCTATGCAGTGAAAATTAAGGTGTCACATACTAAGCCCCAAAATTCGCCTACACTCTCAGAAATAAGTTTTTTTTATCTTTATATTGACTTTTCAAATAGCGGTTACAAACGTTCACATTGACTGACAGTATGGTCTATGGTAGTATCGAAACAAAAAAAATAATGTAGCCTACTTTTAGATTTTTTGCTGTAATATTTACATTTAAGGTTTAAATATGGAAGCTTTAGGTTAATTATGTATGTTTTATTGCCGCAGTGACAGTTTTTTTTTGTACCTTTATTACGTACATTGGTCGGTTAATGCTAATGTACGAATACAGCATTTTAAACTTTTTTTTGTAATATAACTAACATTAACCTATCTACTAGAAAAGTTTTACATTGACATTTGAATCTAGTTTTGTGTTTTTAACAAAAAAAATTAAAAGGTAGGCTCCCAAAAACACACATAACGTTGCATCGACCTAATGACTTTCCTACAACGTTGTACCAACCTTGTAAAAAGGCTGAGGAGGAACTTGTTGCTGAAGGTTATCACAACGGTGTCATAATGTTGTCATTTAAATGGCCCTTACTTTAGGTTGTGCTTAGGCGGCATGGACGACCACTGTAAATTTACTCATCATCAATGAATCAGTTTAGATTTCAACAGACCGTTCGATGCATCATTCAACAACGATCTAGGAGACGTAAGTATTGCCTTTTTTTTTCTTGATAAATAAGTCATCAGGGGTCATTTGTGTAGTCCGTTTGGGTCAAGCTCTGATTTGTCCTCTTGTTCACTGCCTATTTTGACTTGTGGCTGCTGTGGATCCATCTCTAAATTGGATTCTCTGTTGGATTTTTTTCTCTGACTGCTTTCTCCATACCAACAACTACACCTGGGGCCTCACTTTGTGTACGCCAGGTTTCATGCTCAGAATCGCTCACGTTTGGATTTACTAACAATGAAATTAACCTGGGAATGTGCGCAGCTCCATGCCAGCTTTATGGCTGGCGTACACACATTTTTTGTGCGTGTCTGTTTTATTTCCATTGGCGACTCCTAGAGGCAGTTGTGTTAAATTGCTCTCTACAAAGTGTCTTTGCAATGGCAGCAGTATGAGACGGGTTCATCTAGCAGGTATAGAAGGTTTCCATACCATACAGTTGACCAGCTAAACATTAAAGGGCAATTTGCAGCGGTCGCCTGTTTTTCCAATTTAATGGGAGCGATTTACCGCACACACATTGCTATAAAAACACTATCTGAAGATGAATTTGCATGCGTGAATCAAAACATTTCCATTACACAAATTTGCAAATAAAATATGATGCACAAACTTATTAATGATTCCTACTTGTCTTTCTCGTGATAAATAGTTGGCAAAATCTGATATGTAGCGGGGGAAAAAGTAGAATGACTTCATCAGACGCTGGATTCGAACCGAGTTCATGCTCAAACGAGTCAAAACATGTTAACATGAGATTTACAAGCTGCGCCACTGAGACTATTAAGGGTACTACAACATTTTACACCTATAAACCACACTATTTCTTTTTTTAATTCACTCAGTGCGATGTTCAGACCCAACTGTGTTAACCGCATCAGCTGAACTCTCCTACTCTATTTTTTCTTTTGTTGTTAATTCCGGAGAACAAACTTGCAAATGGCACCGATTTTCTCTGGTCTACCTCGGAAAGCAGCTCCTCCAATTCACATTCTGTTCAAAGTTTCTCTTTTTGCTTGCTTTTGCCTTTGCTTTTTCCTTGGGGTTTGCCAAAGTAGAGTCATTAGCATATTCATAGGGGGAGGAGGCAGGGAGGGGTTTTTTTTGCTCGTGCATGTTGCGCTCAGTTATACGTTCATTCGGATGTACAAAAGAATATGCATTTGATTCAGCGTACGCAGTGTTTCATACATCTGAATTTTTTACTGCGTACGCAAATTTACAGCTTTGTGCGTACACAATGTTTTAGTATGATTTCAATGCAAGTCTTCGTACATGAGGCCCCAGGTCTTCGGCTGCGCTCCCCATTCTGCTGTATTCTCTAGTCCAGAGCTTTACTGCCCAGTGTCCGCATTTTAATTAATTCATTATTGTTTTTTTTGTTTACTTCTTTTGTTTGTTTACCTTCTCAATTTACATTTTAATTTAGCCTACCCTTTGAGTTTAATTACATATAGTTCATTATTAAATATAATCTAAACGTTATACTGTTTGCTTATAATTAGATGTGCACAGTATGTATTACATGTTGTAAAAATATATAATAAAGATATTTAATTATATTTGTGTGGTATTTTTACACTTCAAATACACTTACACATGCAGTTATTTTATTAAAAAGGAAAAATAAATAAACAATATTTGATATTAAGCAATACTGGAAAATTAATACTGCTCATCCTATACTCTAGGGCTAGGCAGTATTAATAAACTGCCAGGAAAAAAAAATACATGTAGTAAGAATGTAATCTCGCAGCTGCTGAATGTCACACAACGTTGCTACAGCCTTCTCACGTCTCATGTCTAGCGAGCAAGTAAGTACGTTACCTTTCTAACAACATCTTTCCCGAGTTTCACTTTCACTTAACTGAATGCGCAGTGACAATAAAGATTGTTATTGTCGTCAAAAAGCTAGATTACTTTCATAAACTCGGTATCAAGGCGTACACATGTGTTAAATAGAACGTAATATAAAGGCTATAAAAGAAATGCATACTTACGTGTTACACTAATCCGGAGTTATGAAAAAGTTTACCTGCTGGAGGATGGTGGCGGCAGCTGGAAACTCCTGTCAGACGACATGCACCTGAATTAGCCACTCCCACAGACACTTGACAGATTACATAAACAGGAAAGAGTTTAAAAAATAAATAGATATGTACATAAGCCTTGCTACGTTTTATAAACCATATCAAAAAAAGTATACTACCTACGAAATGGTGTACAGGCTATAACAAAGGTCAGTCCTAAAAATAAGTAATAATCCTTAAATCAAAGGAAGCACCAGAAAGAACTTTACACAAGCAGATAATATAACTATAGGCACAGTAGTTTAATTACTGATCCATTGAAAAATGCTTTAATTACTGATCATGTTTAGGTCATTTAATTAGCCGAGTATACTATCTTAAGCATTTGCAGTTGTCTAATAAATGTAATATAAAGTATTCTGCATAATATACTTGTGTTAAAAATATGAATACTCTGCATGAAAGTATTTTGTGCAGAAAACTTTACATTACTTCTCATTTTGACAGGTATGCATTTATCAGACAACTACATCTTTAATTGAGCAAGACCAGAGGTGGGCAAACTACGGCCCGCGGGTCATATGCGCCCGCTGAACACTTTTATTAGGCCCGCGAGGCAGTTTTTAAAATGTTGGTTATAATAGACTATCTTTGCTTTAAAGTGAAAATTTGTCACATATTAAGCTCCAAAACGCATCTACACTCTCAGAAATATCTCTTTTAAAATATATCTGTTATATCAACTTTTCAAAATGTACAATTGTCTGTATCGATAGCCTAAAACAATACTAAATGTAGGTCTACATAGTAGTAGCAAAACAAAATAATATTATAGCCTTGGCCTATGGGGTTATATTTGTGCCAAAATTCCCATGCCTGCTTTCTGATTTGTATTTCACATTTGTCTTCGTCTGCTCTCATTGCCCGCATGTTTAGGAAAATCAGCATTGTTGACGTACATGCTGTCTGTTGATCTCGTCCTGTCGTTTTTTTTCTGTTTTGTACTGTCATATTCTGTGAGGTATTCTGTCATCTGATCTGTTGTCCTTATTGTTGTCAATTCATCTTTACTATCATCCCTACTGTTGTATGCTGTCGTTTATACTGTCAATTATACCATCATCCTTACTGTCGTCTATGCAGTCGTTTATACTGTCAATTTATACCATCATCCTTACTGTCGTCTATGCAGTCGTTTATACTGTCAATTATAACATCATCCTTACTGTCGTCTATGCAGTCGTTTTTATTGGCATCTAATCCAATCATTCTTTTGTTGACTTGTTCTGTTATCTAAAGTAGTTATGATCCGTTATCTCGCTGCACGATTGCTATCATTATGTAAATTGTCAAATGTGAACAAGGCATATAGGCTACTACACTTTTTTTTTTAAAGTACATTTGTAAACTGTCCCTAGATTAATATACGTATATATAATTTTTATTAGCAGCCTATGTGTGTAAAGTTGAAGTCCATATCACGCCTATGATATTGCAATTATTTAAAAAATATATATATTTACTAACCTAATAATACTAATATTATTGATTACTTACTGATTTTATTAGTCAAACTGACTAACTGACTGGAAAAAAAAAACAATTTATTGTAAATACAGGAAAATTGTCCTTGAAAAAGATTCATTGGAGACCAGGTTATGTCAAAATGGTGTCTCTACTCAAAATGCTATCTTGAAACCCTTAATGCCTCTAAAAATATATAGTCAACAGTAAGGATGACTGTATAAACGACAGCATAGACGACAGTATATGATAGTTTAATTGACAATATAAACGACAGCATAGAGGACATTAAAGACGACAGAACAGAGACCATAAGGACGACAGCATACAACGGTAGGGATGACAGTAAAGATGAATTGACAACATCAAGGACAAGTTGGACAACAGATCAGATGACAGAATACCCCATTGAACATGACAGTACAAAACAGAAAAACCGACAGGACGACAGATTAAGACGACATCAACCGACAATATGTACGTCAACAATGCTGATTTTCCTGAACATGCGGGCAATGAGAGCAAACGAAGACAGAGCAAAAAGCAGGCATAGGAATTTTGGCACGAACCCTATACTGGCCTACCTTTTGAATTTTCTAGGATGTTATATGTACTTGTAAGGTCCAAATTTGGAGGTTTTAGGTTAATCATGTATGTTTTAAATAGATATCGCCGCAGTGACAACTTGTGTTGTACTTTTATTTCGGACAATCCTATCGGTCGTTTAATGCTAATAATGCTTTAAGACGTACGAACCCAGCATAATTGACTGTATATTTTTTAGTAATATAACTGACGTTAATCTACTACAAAAGTTTTGTATTGAAATATTAATCTAATTTAGTGAATTCAACTAAAAATAAAGATAGGCTACCTTTCTAACAACATCTTTCCCGAGTTTCACTTTCACTTAACTGAATGCGCAGTGACAATAGATTGTTATTGTCGTCAAAAAGCTAGATATACTTTCATAAACTCGGTATCAAGGCGTACACATGTGTTAAATAGAACGTAATATAAAGGCTATAAAAGAAATTCATACTTACGTGTTACACTAATCCGGAGTTATGAAAAAAGTATACCTGCTGGAAGATGGCGGAGCTATTGTAAAATCCTGTCAGACGACATGCACCTGAATTAACCACTCCCACAGATTACAAAAACAACGTACAAGGAAGAGTTGAGAAAGAAATCCAGGTAAAGATGTAGGCTATAAACATTTTTGCTAGGTTTTATTCACCATAATCAGTACTGCATAAGAAAGTGTATAAAGGCTAAAAAAAATCTGTCCTTAAAATAAGTAATAATAATCCTTAATTCAATAGAAGCAACAGAAAGAACTTTACACAAGCAGATATTATAACTATAGGCACAATAGTTAAATTACTGATCCATTGAAAAGTGTAAAGAAGGCATTACTGATGGTGTAGGTCATTTAATTAGTTGTGTATACTTGCAGTTGTCTAATACATGTAATGTCATATATCAGACAACTGAACCTTTAATAGACCTGCAAAATTGTCAGTCAACATATATAGTATGGATATGACAGTTGAAGTCAGAATTATTCACCCTCCTGTGAATTTTTTTTTTTTTTCAGATATTTCTTAAATGATGTTTAACAGAGCAAGGCATTTTTCACAGTATTTCCTATATTTTTTCTTCTGGAGAAAGTCTTATTTGTTTTATTTCAGCTAGAATAAAAGCAGTTTTTATTTAAAAAAGGTCAATATTATTAGCCCCCTTAAGCTATATATATATATATATATATATATATATATGCAACATGTGAACTTGCCTCTCACCTTCAGCCATTTTCAGTTTAAGACACTGAAGAAAATCCACTGTAGTTCTGAAAATTGCAAGTCTATTCATGACCTAAATAGTGCAATTTAACATTCAGCACAATAAAATATTGCAGTTTTAGCCTATAAAAACAATGTTTGCTAGAACCAGGATATCAGAGGGATAAAGATGGTTAAAGAACAAAATAAATAAGCATTACTTGCAGATAAATGTATGAAATCTGCAAATACACTTAAAAGACCCTGAAACATAATTTATAACTCATATGCCAACTTTAGATATTTGGTTATCGGGTTACGAAGTAAATGTGCAAAAATCATAGGTCATTTGCTTCAATTTTGATTGTTTACCACAGAATTTGATTAATTACAGTTAATTATATAGAGGTAATAAAATGGGTATATATCTGCCAAATGACACCAAAACCTTGCCAGATGTAAATTAGCTTAAATATAAGCTACACTGGCAAAATAAATTCTACAAAACTGTTGCAAGCAATTGATATAGGCTTAATTTAAACAGAAAAATTAAATTTAGTAATGTTCAACTTAATTTGTTTGTTTAAATTAAGCCTAAATATATGGTATTAATTCATAAAGCTAAACCAACAAATAAAAAAAAACTGCAAACAAAACAACAACAAACAGTAAACAAATCAAACACCCACACATACAAAAACCACTAAACACTTGTGTGCTTGAACAATTTTAATAAAAAAGTGACCTGTTGTCGCTTCCTTTTCATTCACATACGTACAAAAAAACAGCAAGGAATGACAGATTGCCAGAGTAAGAGAGAAGGAGTAAAGCTCTGCTGTGAATACAGACAGTCTGAAGTCAATGAAAAGTCAAGCGGATGCAGAATACAGTACAGTACTGGCCCAGGAGGAGAGAGAGAGAGAGAGAGAGAGAGAGATCGACGGCTGAACATTCATCAGACAGATGAGGTAAAACACTGCCGCTCGCATTGCTACTGTCTTCAGTTCAAGTTAATTATTATTATTATTAGAAGAGTGACAATAATATCATAACAACAACATCATCAACAACAACAACACAAATCTTCATTAAGGTTGAAACTCAAGTCAGAAACGCAGTGTTAGAGAGAATAACACACCTTTTTGAATATTATATATGTATATATATGTGTATCAATATTTTCACAATGACCATATATATATTGTGCAACAAGACCTAGTGCACTTAAAAGGCAACTTTATATCGTAAAAACTGCCGAATATATGAGGGTGTAACACAGATAAGGGTACAGCTGCCAACAGATTGCAGAAAAACTGAAGTAAAATAATGAAGTTTACAAGCTCTTGCTCTCAGTCCTGCCAAGAGAAGTGAAGGGCAACAGAATAATAATGTTGAAATATACTGATTATACATTTAGGATTTTAAAGAGCATCTTTCCATTCTTTAATATGTGAAACCAGTCACCGCCTTCATGTCTTCAATTAAATGAAAATGCAACGTAAAGTTTTGGGGTGATTTATGCAATAGTTGTGATCAATAGGAAGTTATAGCTGAAAACTTTAAAGCTTTTTGTTTGATTTATTTTAATTAATTAGTTAATTTTTTCCAATTTATTTAAATTATTTTAATTTAATTAATTTGATTTAATTTAGTTATCTAATTTAAAAAGTTAAACTTAATTTGAAATTCTAATTTAATTTAATTTATTTTAACAATTTTTATCAATCGGGAATTATACTTTTAGCTTTTTATTTGATTTATTTTCTTTTTTTTACTTTTTATTTTATATTTATTAATTCGTTTATTTTTTCCAATTTATTTTAATTAAATATTTTAAAGCTATTTTATTTATTTTATTTAGTTATTTAATTTAATTTCAATTGTTTGATTTAATTTAATTCAATAATTGTGATTAATGCATTTATACTTATAGCTGTATACTTTTAGCTTTTCATTTGATTTAACTTATCTAATAATTTTGTTTATTTCTCCAATTTATTTTAATTATTTAGATTTAATTAAAATAAATGAAATATTCACTTCAATTTAAATTATTTAACCTAAATTTCAACAAGTGCGATCAATCATGATTTATAGCTGTATACTTTTAGCTTTTCATTTAATTTATTTCAATTAATTAATTAATTTCTAAATTTACTTAATTTAATTTACTTAGATTTAATTTAATTCTTTTGTTTAATTTGATTGAATTTAATTGTCATTTGATGAAATTTAATTATTTGATTTAATAAAATTCAATCTTAATTAATTTTGTGTAACCATTGCCTTCCATTATATTTGTTTTTCCAATTATACAAGTAAATGGTTACCAGCTCATCAAATTTTTCAAACTATTCATCAGTTTGAGTATCTTAATTATTTTATTTTATTTCATTTAATTAAATTCAATGTCAATTAAAGTTGAGACTTAAAGTAGTGTTTGGGGAATAATAAATTAAATAAAATGTATTTTAATAATTTAATTTGATTAAATTTAATTAAATATTCCCCACAAACTACTTTAAAATCACAACATAATGTTTCTTCAGGGCTTGTAAATATTAAATGCATAATAATCCAGACCACATTTAAAGGGAAAGTTCAAATATGCTGTTCATTTTTGCTGAACCTGAAAGGATTTTTACATTTGTGGTCCTTTTTTGGGTGAACTTTAGCTTTAACACATCTTCCTAATTTCCATATAACATAATAACATGATTTAAAATGAAAAAGGACTAAGAGATGTTGATTTATTTAGGCATGAATACGCAAAACAACTGGCCTGTTTTAAATGAAAGTGTGCATTCAAGACACCCGAGACATCATCAATAATGTGGAATAAATGACCTCTTGGGGATTGCATTTTTATTTCGACCTATTAGACATTCTCAAGCTTGCTAAATACATTGTAAATAGTTAATAATTCCTATATTAACTTGACCTAGTGTAAAACAAACAAAAGCAAAGTACTTTTAAATTAACAGTTAAAACTAATAGCGAGTTTGACACCATCAATCATGATAAAACTGCAGTCACATGTAATATTCTGAGTCATTAGTCACTAAAACTATGAGCTGTATTTCTGCTCTGGGATTCAAGTAAACGATTCTGGATTTTAGTCCATGATTCTGTTCTTCAGAGTCTCACAGGGAGCTTGTGGTTTTGTATTCAGATGTTATTTGCTGTGTTGTAAAAGTGCCTTCATCAGAGGGTACAGAGGTGATGCTTTTCTGTCATCTCACACAAACATACTTGGAATGAAGCTATTTAAAGGGACAGTTCACCAAAAAAGTTTAATTCTGTCAATATTTACTCACTCTTAACTTCTGTTGAAGATATTTTGAAGACTGTTGGAAACCTGTAACCACTGACTTCCATTGTATGTTTTTCCTAATATGGAAATAAATGGTTACCGGTTTAAAACATTTATCAAAATATTTTTAACAGTTTGAGTTCCTTTCTTCTGTCATACACAAAAGAAGATATTTTAAAGAAATGTTTGAAACCTGTAACCATTGACTTCCATTGAATTTGTTTTTTTTTCCTATTATATAAGTCAATGGTTACCAGTTTATAACATTCTTCAAAATATCTTCATCAGTTTGAGTTTCTTTCTTCTGATGAACACAAAAGAAGATATTTTAAAGAATCTTGAAAACCTGTAACCACTGACTTCCATTGTATGTTTTTCCTAATATGGAAATAAATGGTTACCGGTTTAAAACATTTATCAAAATATTTTTAACAGTTTGAGTTCCTTTCTTCTGTCATACACAAAAGAAGATATTTTAAAGAAATGTTTGAAACCTGTAACCATTGACTTCCATTGAATTTGTTTTTTTTCCTATTATATAAGTCAATGGTTACCAGTTTATAACATTCTTCAAAATATCTTCATCAGTTTGAGTTTCTTTCTTCTGATGAACACAAAAGAAGATATTTTAAAGAATCTTGAAAACCTGTAACCACTGACATCCGTTGTATGTTTTTCCTACTATAGAAGTAAATGGTTACCGGTTTACAACATTTATCAAAATATCTTTATCAGTTTGAGTTCCTTTCTTCTGTTGAACACAAATGAAGATATTTTAAAGAAATGTTCAAAACCAGTAACCATTGACTTGCATTGCATTTTTTTTCTATTATACAAGTCAATGGTTACCAGTTTATAACATTTTTGAAAATATCTTCAATAATTTAAGTTTCTTTCTTCTGTTGAACACAAAATAAGATATTTTAAAACATGTTGGAAACCTGTAACCACTGACTTCCATTGTATTTGTTTTTCCTATTATACAAGTCAATGGTTACCGGTTCATAACATTCTTCAAAACTTCTTCTTTTTTGTTCAATAGAAAAAATTATAACAACAAAGGTTTAAAACCACTTGAGGGCCAGTAAATACTGAGTAAATGTTAATTTCTGGGTGAACTATCCCATTTAAAAGGGATAATTCCACCAAAAATGAAATCTGAGATTATTTATTCACCCTGGTGTTTTAATGCAGAATATTTTACTCATGTTTGCTCATATTAAAGTGATAAATAGCACTTTAGAAAACAGTAATAAACTTGTTTCACAGAATGGTATAATAAAACATGAAGCATATATTTTATGTTTTATATAAAAAGAGCTGGTGTAAAACAAATGGACATTTAATGCATTATTAACAAGAATCCTGACTTTGATTGTTGGTTTCTGTGCAGACTGAATAATTTTATAAGTGCTGTAGTTCACTCTCACCCAGAGGACACAACACAAGTGCATGATTTAAATATAAAAAAACAAAACGAGAATAATAAAACATTACAAAAGTATCTGTGTAGCATCTTCCCTGATCTGAATGTCTCTGGAATGTTAAGTTGTCATCGCAATAAACAAACTTACCCTTAAAAGAAAAATAGTATTTAGTGTCTTTATTTTGATTTCTTTATATGGCATTCAGGGGATATTTTCAAAATTGACAACAAAAAAAATTTAACACAAAAGAAGATAGTTTGAAAAATGTTGACGCCTGTAACCATTAACTTCCCCTCTTAAAAAAATTACAAAGTCAAGACAACAAATATTTTTATGTTGCTTTAACTAATTTTAATCAGTTAATCAGGTTTTAACTAAATAGTTTTTGTTATACAAGGTTTAACTTAATATTTTTAGTCAGTTTGACTTATGTAAACTGAGATGACTAGAAAAGTTCACTTGATTCAACAAAAAAATTTGAGGCAGCAATATATTTTTGTTTACAGTGCATATGAAAACAATACTACAGACGTCAACGACTAACAACATTCTTGAAAATATCTTCTTTTGTGTCTAAGAGGAAAAAACAACTTAAATTTGTTTGGTCCAAGTGAAGAATGAGTAAATCATTTTAATTTTTATGTAAACTACCCCTTTAAAAAAAATAAATAAATAATAATAATAATAATCAAAGTCAGGGTTTTTGTTTAATAAAGCATTTAAGTTAAGTGTTTTACACCAATCATACACCTCCAAAACATTTGAAGTATAAAACTGACTCCTCAAGTGACCATTCAGTAATAATTAAGCATTCAACTTCAACATTTGTGCTCCAAAAAAGACAATATTAGATCAACACAACACTAAAGAGTAAAAATGACTCCATTTACATTTTTTTTGGTGAACTACCCCTTTAACTCAACCTATAAAACGATAAATATTACAGAAATACTTCACCCAAAATGAACATTTATTCACTGTTTACTTAATCCCAATAGACTTTTTTTCTGTTGAACACGAAAGAAGATACTTTAAAGAATGCTGAAGCCATTCACTTTCATATTATGTGTTTTCCTACTACTGAAGTCAATGGCTTCCAATTCGGCAACATTCTTATAAATATCTTGTGTGTGTGTGTGTGTGTGTGTGTGTGTGTGTTCAACAGACAAAAATAATCCCTGATACCCCTCAAAGCTGAGTAAACAGTGAGTAAAGTGAGTGAACAGTGAGTAAATATCATTTTCAGGTGAACTATGCTATGAACTCAAGTGGTTAGACAGTTTACATCAACTCCCATCAGCCTGGAGTTAATGTGCTCTAATAAATTTGATTCTTCATTACATTTAAAGGTAAGGACCAAATTTATAATACCTAACTGAACGTAAGTGGTCCCCACACTATCAAACTAGCTCTCGCATTTAATCCTCTATTATACGTTTCTACTAAACACAGCTTTAGACGAAGCAGCTTCCACCATTGTCTACATAATTCATGGCTTCATGGCATCGATTTTTACAAGCATGGAATGAATGAACGAATGCATTCAGGCAAACAAACGCACACTCATTCACTCACGCTTCTTCCTATATATCTCTACACGCCCTCATGTCTTCTTCTCGAGACGGTCATGGGCGACCTGCTCTACCTCTACAGCTGCTTTTTGCTGTTTTTGGAGTGGTTCTGCTCAGTTTTGGACACCTCCTGCTTGTCTGGAGACATCAGCTCCAGAAGATCCACCAGAGCCTTCTTGATGTAAGCGCCAAACTTGTGAGCGTCCTGAAATACAGTGAGAAAAAGAAAAGAGAGGATATGGATGAGTGTATCATGTGTTGCTCATCAGCATATTGCAGAAGTCAATTTCTGGTGTAGCAATGCAAGCAAAATAATACATTCATTTTCCTTCAGCTTAGTGCCTTATTTATCAGTGATCGCCACAGCGGTATGAACCGCCAACTATTCAGCATAAGTTTTATGCAGCGGATACCCTTCCAGCTGCAACTCATTACTGGGAAACAACCATACACACACACACACACACACACACACACACACACAAAATGGTCAGTTTAGTTATCATTTCCTCTATAGCGCATGTATTTGGACTGTGGGGCAAACTAGAGCACCCGGAGGAAACCCATGCCAACACAGGGAGAACATGCAAACTCCACAAAGAAATGGCAACTGACCCGGCCGGGACTCGAACCAGTGCAAACCACTGAGCCACCTGGCCACCCGCATAGAAAACTCTAAATACCTCTAAACATAATAATGGATAACTTGATCTACACACATCGCCGCTAGAGGGCGCAATTAACTCTGTTTTCTAGAGACTACATAAGTCTTTATTCCAATGTAATAAACTACTAGTCAGTCAATAATTCTAACTCGTGTAGGTGTGTGTGTGTGTGTGTGTGTGTGTGTGTGTGTGTGTGTGTGTGTGTGTGTGTGTGTGTGTGTATATATATATATATATATATATATATATATATATATATATATATATATATAATTTATTTTAATTTTTTTTATAAATTTGAAATATTTAAACTTAAAAAAAATTCAGGTATTAAATGTCAGGTGTTAGGTTGTAGCACTGAATAAATGGTGACATAAGGTCAGATGACTTGCAGAAAATAATAACAAATGTGAGTCCTGTCGCTTTATTTATAATGTACTATATATAGAGCGCATGGTCGTGACATGCATTTCAAAATCTTGCATAGTCAGCAGCTTCTATGCAGTTGAAGTCATCTGGAATAGCAAAGAAAGCGTTCCTGCAGGACTCGAATCCAAAGAATTTTGATGAACTGCATCTTCAACGCCTCCTTCATCTTACCCAATAATGTTGCTCAATAATGTTCATGTTTGGTGATTGGGCTGGACAATCCTGGAGCACCTTGACTTTCTTTGCTTTCAGGAGCTTTGATGTGGAGGCTGAAGTATGAGAAGGAGCGCCATCCTGCTGAAGAATTTGCCCTCTCCTGTGGTTTGTAATGTAATGGGCAGCACAAATGTCTTGTTCAAGTTATTATTTGTTGCTCTTACAACTGCGATCAACGACAAGACTTTTGTCAGGTAGTGTAATAAATGTCCAAAATTATTGACCTCCTGATGAAGCCTATTAGACATTGTAAATGAAGAAAATATCCCTGTATGTGTCTTTGTTTGTGTAATTTATAAATATAAATCTACTTACAGTCTGAGGGCAGGAGTGTTTGCAGGAAATATGAAAGTTGATCATGTTTTCTCCGATGATGATGTAGGACACACCATAACCGTCATCAGCAACCTAATAAAAGCATTAAGGTGAAAATAGATGAACATGCACACAGAAATGTCAACATTTAAAGGTTTTTATAGGTGATGTTTTCAAAGTAAATAAGCTTAACTTTTCAGATTTTGATAGTAATACATTAATGCACAACTTTTGTAAAGTTACTTTGAAACAGTGATTATTGTGAAAGAACTATGCAAATAAACTTGAATTGTGAGTGTGTATGAATAATTCTGACCGGCCCAAATCCTCCTCCACAGGTGGTGTAGTCTGGGTGATTCACAAAGTCAAACAGCTCCACCTGCTGGAGAGGTGTCTGACTGGTGGACAGACGCCACGTATCTGAAAGCACCTGGAGAAAACACAAAAATGATATAAATTTATAAAAATAAAAGTATCTTGAAAAAAAATTATTTTAATAATAAAATCACAAATAAAATTAAAAGCATTATACATTTCAAACACATATAATATACATAAATGTATAGTCACATGATTCAATCTGACAAAGCAAGTCTATATTATAATTAAAATAATAATTATGATAATAATAATAAAATGTATTTTTGTACCGAAGCACTCTTTTTATGATTAAAATTTTTTAACATTTAATTTGTACATTTTTGTAAAATAGGGAAATATTTTTAAACTGTGTTATAGAAAAAAACATGTATTATGTCAGAAAAAAAGTATTAACATGATTTTTTTGACACACAAAATATTTTTTTTCTTAACTTAATTAATATTTGTACTTTAAATTATATTTTAGTAAATTATCCAACTATTTATTTAATTTATTTATTAAATTATTTATAAAAAATGATCAATGATTATAAATGTTTTTAAAAATGATTATAAAAATAATTAAATGATTAGATTTCTTTAAAATGTAATTAAAGTAAATAATCTAAAAGTAATTTGACCTTCAGAATCAGAAATATTAGATTAAAATATTAGATTAAAAGATATTAGACATAAAAATTAAACAAAACTTAAATCATTGTTCCACTTAGATGAAATATGTGCACTACATAAAAAAATATTATCATAAATACATTTTAAATGCATATAATATTAATATATAACTACATGATTAAATTTGACAAAAAAAATCTGTTTAGAATTTTTTTTATTATAAAGCAACTTTTTGTATGATAATCATTTTTTTCTGGAAATTTTATTTTGACATTTTTTTTAAATGGAAATATTTTTAAACCATGTTATAGAAAAAAATATGTATTATATCAAAATAAAATAAAGTATTATCATGATTTATTGATAGTTACAATTTTATTTCTAAACTAATTTTCTCTTAAAATTAATGTAAATTTAGTAAGTTATTAAAGTATTTATCAACTTTAATTATTAAATTATTTATAGAAATATTAATGATTATTAATGACCATTGAAATTAAAATATTAGATTTCAATAAAATGTAATCAACCTTAATAATCTAAAAGTAATTTGATCTTCAGAATCAGAAAGATTTGATTAAAATATTAGATGTAAATCTTATTAAATTGTTTAATCTAATATTTTTAAAAGCATTATTCCCTTTGATTAACTATATATGGACTACATTAAAAAGAATGATCATAAATAAAACTTACATTTTAAATACATATATATTAATAAATGTACATAATCATATGATTAAACCTGACAAAGAAAGTCTATTTTTATTTTTAAAAAAGTCTTTTTTTATTTTACTTTTTATATCAAAACACTATTTATATGATTTTATTTTTTCTGAAATTTTTTTTGACAAATTCTTTAAATGTGCAAATATTTTAAAACAGTGTTATAGAAAACATGCTTTATATCAAAATTAAATCAAATATTATCATGATTTATCAACAAAAAGTAAATTATTAACATTATTATTATTTACTTTTAAGATTTTTTTTTTACTTTAAATTAAAAATTAGTTATTAAATTATTCAAATATTTATACATTTTAATTATTAAAATGTTAAAAATATTTAAAATGATTAAAAATAATAAATAATTAATTAGATTATTAAATTAAACTACTTATAGATTATTTGATTTATTTACATTTGATGGAAATTTAAGTAATTTGATCTTCAGTTTCAGAATGATTGGATTCAATTATTAAATTAAAAGATATTAGATTTTAAAAAATATCAGATTAAAGCATTATTCCACTTACATTAAATACATCCAAAATAATTATCATAAAAACGATTTAAAAAAAAACGTGTTGCACATTCGCTGCACATTCCTAACATCTTTTGTCAATCATCCTTCCAGTTCTCACGCCCATGCCAGTTCATTTACAAGGAATCAGATCTGGGTAATCTGCTCTAGCTGCAGCTTCTATGTTGAGCAAGAGCCGTTCCCAGACTCCCACACCTCTTTAAGGAAGGGCGACTCTTCTCCCAGGTATTTAGAGACGATGTAGAGGCAGAAAAGGTGTCTGTCTATCCCTCCTCCGGTCATGGCCATCCTGTAGAGCTGCTGATGTTTCTCTGATGCTGTCCGGAAAAGACGCCGGCAAACCTCCTTACTCTACACATACACACAAACAGTGAAATCGAAATTTACAATGTTTATTTTGGTTCACATATTTCAAACTGTGTATATGTGTGTGCTAGTTAATGTGGTTTTGTGAGGACACATTTGCATAATGACATGGGTTTGATCTATGTATTTTTTCAATTTAAAATAGTTAAAAATCATACTTAATGGGTCTTTTCAAAATTAAAATGTGCCACAGTTTAGCTAATAGGGTTAGGTTTAGGGGTAAGGTTATATACTAAGCGTTTTTTACAGTATAAAATACACTACACCAATAAGAGTCCTCATAAATCACAAAAACCAACGTGTGTGTGCAAGACATTCTCTTCTGAAGTATGTCTGCATATATGAGGAGTATCCATTCTTGCTGTGTCCTGCGTCCTTCTCATTTCAGCTTCAGTCAGCGTCAGCACACTTTACTAGAAGTTTCTGAAGGCTGCTTTGTTTACAATTTAAAATGCATAAATCTTTTCTTTATATGCTCAGTTGACATGCAGCTTTGAAGACATTTTGGAAGTGTTATCACAACAATCTCTGTAATATCATAGGACGGTACTGATCTTGATCCTAAAATTTGGGTAGATGATATCTGTTAACATCACATAACTTATCATGAAAATGTTTATTTATTTATTTATTATTATTATTATTTTAAGTCACATTTTAGAATATTATTTTTATGACAATATTTGTCAAAATATTATTATATTACATTTATAACTTTTCTGGCAGTTTAAATCTTACTTTTCTCAAATATTATTTTACATGTAAAAATTATATATGTGTATATTGTTTTATAAATATATAATACAATGTTACTAAATCATTAAACATGTTTACACATTGATTATATTTGGCCTTAAACAGTTCATATATTAATTTTTACGTGAATTTTGTTCCCCATTCTCTTATTTTCTTGCTTCTTTCCTGGGATATTATTATTTTTATTTATGACTATTATTAATAATCATTGCTTTTAAAATATTTTTCATATATATATATATCACTTTTATTATAATATTATTATAATTATATATTATAATAAAAATTATATATATATATATATATATATATATATATATATATATATATATATATATATATATATATATATATATATATATATATATATATATATATATATATATATATATATATATATATATATATATATATATATATATATATATATATATATATATATATATATATATATATATATATATAAATAAATAAAAAAAAAAGAAAGAAAGTAAATATATATATATATATATATATATATATATATATGAATGAATAAATGTGTGTGTGTGTGTGTGTGTGTATATATATATATATATAGAGAGAG